GGAGTCAGAGAACAAGCAAACACCTAAACCTTTGTCTCTAGAGGCTAGAACCGCACCCTTAAACCCTAAACCCTAAACCCTCAATTGTAGAGCACAGAACCTCACAACTAAACGCTAAACCCTAGAGTGTTGAACATAAACCACAAACCCTAAACCCTAAACCCTACCTTTGCAAATAAAACCCGAGGCTGCAACAAAGACATCCGAGAGAAGCAGCGAGAAACAGCAGAAAAAACAACAGAGACAGCTGAGGTGTCTGTACACCTCGGGTCTGCTAGCAGCACCAACGCCGTCCTGCAAACCCCAAAACCCTAAACCCTAAACCCTAAACCCTAAACCCCAAACTGTAACCCCTTCGCCCCACCACAGTCAGTGGTGAGACTTCACTCTGCACTTCTTTTGTTGGGGGGACTAGGGTTTAGGGTTTAGTTCCGAAGCAGCAAATAGACTCGAGGGTTTGCTGCTTGGGGCTCAGAGACAGCTGAGGTGTCTGTACACCTCGGGTCTGCTAGCAGCACTAACGCCGTCCTGCAAACCCCAAAACCCTAAACCCTAAACCCTAAACCCTAAACCCCAAACTGTAACCCCTTCGCCCCACCACAGTCAGTGGTGGGACTTCACTCTGCACTTCTTTTGTTGGGGGGATTAGGGTTTAGGGTTTAGGGTTTAGTTCCGAAGCAGCAAATAGACTCGAGGGTTTGCTGCTTGGGGCTACAACTGAGGGTTTAGGATGCTGGCGAGTAGACAAGGATAAGCCTGCTCAGACATGCTTAGGGTTTAGGGTTTAGGGTTTAGGGATAGGGTTTACAGGATTAGTTTAAAGTGAAGATAAGAGGTGCACTGTACGTTGAGGGTTTATGGCTAGGGTTTAGGGTTTAAGGCTAGGGTTTAGGGTTTAGGGTTTAAGGTTAGGGTTTAGGATTTAGGGTTTAGGGTTTTGCGTACGGCCGTTTTCGCAGGGCCAGTTGCAGCGCTTCTTCAGAGAGCTCAACATAATCTCCTGGTTCATTTTCGTCTAAAGCTTCTGTGCTGTCTGCTGCTGCTGCTGCTGCTGCTGCTGGTGCTGCTGCTGCTGAAGCAGGAGGGTTGCGCAGGTAAGAAATCTCCTGCTCTAGCCAGCTGTAGGCTGAGCAGGTCTGTTGTTCGGGTGTACGTACACTGTGGGATTCGTCTACTGCCTCTGCTGCTGTTGCTCCTGCTGCTGCTGCTGCTGCTGGTGCTGCTGCTGCTGCTAGATGCAGCAGGAGAGGGAGAAGGCGCTTCATCGCGCCGCTGCAGAAGGTGTTGGCGGCTCCCACTATAGGGTTTTGATTGTATTGAGTGCTGCTGCTGCTGCTGCTGCTTCTGGTGGTGCTGCTGCTGCTGTTGCTGCTGCTTGCGGTGTACAGACAGCGGCATACAGCGCGCCCCAGCGGGGTTTTTCTTTTATGTGTTGAGTCTGCCTATAACTTTCAATTAATTAATTAATTAAATAATTAAATATATAATTAATTAATTAATTAAAACAAACAAAAACAAAAACAATAAACTGCAGCCAGTATAACAGCTGCCGACTGCAACCCACGTGGGGTCTGTACGCTTCTCTGTATTTGTTTATTAAAGCTTTCTTCGTTTGTTTACAGATAATAAAGATATAAATAATAAATTAAATATAAAAAATAAATTTAAAACAATTCAATTAATTATAATACCAACAACAGAAACAGAGAGCCTTCTATATGAGTTGCGGTGTATGCACAGCTCTTAACTGTAGTAAAGTCTGTCCTCTTTGTTTTTTCTCTCAATATAAAATATATTTTAATAATAGTCATTAAAACAATAAACCCCAGGCTGGCTTGAGGTAGCAGCAACAAATGCACATAAATCTATATATGCATGTGCATATCTATATATATATATATACATCTATATATATATATATATACATCTATATATATATATATATACATATATATATATATATATAATTCTATGGTGGGCACTAACCCTAAACAAACAAACCAGTGTATATACACCTGCTGCAGCGCCGCTGCAGAAGACTGCCTGCCTCAGTCAGCGTCAACTAGCTGCTGCTAGCAGCAGCAGCTAGCAGCAGCAGCTAGCAGCAACAGCTAGCAGCAGCAGCAATATCACACCCTGTATAAGTTGTCACGAATTGGTTCGGCAGCAGCAGCAGCAACAGAAGCAGCAGCAACAGCAACGAAAGCGAACGGAGCAGCAGCAACAGCCACAACTGCTGCAACAACACCCACAGCAGCAGCATCAGTAGCAGCAAGCAACACTAGCAGCAGCAGCAGCTGCTGCAGCTACCGAAACTATTATTGTAAACCCCAGAACTGAGGCGTGCTGTCTCTAAGGGTTTAGGGTTTAGGGTTTACGCCCACGCCAGCCCTGAGGTGTACAGGCATGCAAGTGTATTATATATAACTAATACTATATATATTATAGATATAATATATATTATTTATATATTAATAATGAGACATAATAAACATATTCTTGACTTGCAAAAGAAAAAAGAATTGAACGGGGAAAACCAAGAGCGCAGCAGCAGCAGCAACAGTAGCAGCAGTTGCTGCTGCTACTGCTGCTGCTGCTACTGCTGCAACAGCTGCTGCTGCTGCTCCGGCTGGTGCTGCTGCTGCAGCTACTGGTGCTGCTGCTTCTGCTGCTGCATCAGAGTCTCTGCGCTTGCGCCAGATCACTAATTAAGCATATGCTTCTACAGCAGCAGCAGCAGCAGCAGCTGCTGCTCCAGCTGCTGCTGCTGCTGCTGCTGCTGCTGCTGCTGCTGCTGCTGGTGTATTAGAGTCTCTGAGCTTGGGCGAGATCGCTAATTGGGCATATTTCTTGTTTATTTGCTGCTTCAATTGTGCAGTGCAAACCGCGAAAAGATAAAACTTGGCAGCAAGTTGAATACAAACGGTGTGACGGATTGACAACTATAGCCTGCACACAAATATAAATAAATAAATATATATATATATATTTTATATATATATATTTATATATATATATATATTCTTTAATTATATTAAATAAATAAATAAATATGTAGTAAATATATGTAAGAATATATACATAAAATAGAAGGAGACAGCAACAAATACTTAAAGTAAAAGGAGACAAAGACGAATAAAGTAATACAATAAAATAAATAAAAGAAGACAGCAACAAATAAAATAATATAATAAAATAAAAGGAGACAGTTTATTCACCAGCTGTCCTTCAACTGTAACAGAAAGAGGTTCATAGAAAAGAAAAAGAGAGACAAAAAAAAACAAAAGGAGACAGCAATAAGCAATTAAACAACAGCATATAATTAATTAGAAGAAAGAGACAGAGACAAATAAAATAATAATATAAAAGGAGACAGCTCATTCACCAGCTGCCCTTCTACTGTAACAGAAAGAGGTTCTGTCTCCTTGCAATCGACAGCCCAGAAGTTTGCTTGAGAAGAAATTACACATCGCCCTTTCTCCGCATCCACAGACACCAAGGACACCCTAAACCACAAACCACAAACCCTAAACCCTAAACCCTAAACCCTAAACCCTAAATCCCCAGTCAGATTAAACCCTCAGAACACCATGCGACTCTAAAAGGCAAATATATAGGAAAAAGAGATAGCTGCAAACAGAAACTTTGGGTAGTCCTGCTGCTGCTGTTGCTGCTGCTGCTGCTGCACCTGTTTGGGGTAGTGGGGTCCTTGAATAACTCTGACGAGGACGCCTTTAAGACACCAAGGAGGGAGATCATGTTTAACAGCAGCAGCAGCAGCAGCAGCAGCAGCAACAGATGCTGAAGTAGAGAGACGCATGTTGCTGCTGCTGCTGCTGCTACCCGCATGATGAGAGGAGACAGACATATTAGAACTGAGAGCTCTGCCTTCTTCTCTTCTAAACCCTAAACCCGATGTAGAAGAAAACGACATAGAGCTGCTGCTGCCCATAGACAGAGACAAGTCGCTCAGAGACCTGCGCATACACCCAAACCCTAAACCCTCAACAACCCTAAACAACCCTAAACGACCCTAAAAATCCCTTAACAACCCTAAACCCTAAACCCTAAACCCTAAAGAAGTGGTGTTGACGCGGTATCTACATGTGCAAGGCCCTGCGTCGCATCCTAAAGCCTCGCTTCCAACCCCCAACCCCTAAACCCTAAACCCTAAACCCTAAACCCTAAACCCTAGAGCGTGTTGCGGACACTGCGTCTTCGTCGATGAGGGTTTCCATAGCTGCATTGGGGGTGCTTGGGTGGCTGGCTTGAGAGAGAGGGGGAAGCAGCTCTGATGCTCTTGTCAAAGGAGTAAGAGAAGCAGATATAGAAGCTAAGTCTCTGTCTCTGTCTCTGTCTCCTGCAATGTCTCTGTCTCTGTCTCTCTCATCAAATATTGAAGGAGCAACAGAACAACCATCGCCGCTCAAAGACATCTGAGATAAACCGCTGTCCGTTACAGCCCCCAATGCGCCTACATAACACAAACCCTAAACCCTAAACCCTAAACCCCGAAACCCTAATTACAACTTCAGATTTTGTTTGCAGCAAAACCCTGAAAAGGAGACGCTCAGCAGCAGCAAGGAGACGCTCAGCAGCAGCAACAGGGAGACGCTTTCCTTCGTTCTCAGGTGTACGTACACCAGAGATCAAGGGTTTTGCTGCGCTGTAACCCTACAAACCCTCGAGGGTTTGCGGAGCAGCGGGAAGGAGACACCTCAGCAAAGAAAAGAAAGAAGACAAAAGGAGACAAGAAAAGACAAAAGGAGACAAAAGGAGACAGTCAGCTAATGCACAAAGCAAAAGGAGACAGAGACAGACAGTTATGAGGAATTGAAAAAAAGCAAAAGGAGACAGGAGGAGACAGAAGGAGATAGTTAGAATTAGGAGAATATGTAAGGAGGAGACAAAAGGAGACAGGGCCTACGTAAGCTCGTCTCTCTCCACCGCTCTAACATTCGCAATGATGCCTTTATACTTCCCCTTCTGCACCTTAACTT